CCAGCCTTTCCGAAGCAAACTTTAGGAAGTGGTAAGAAACTCCTCCTGTCCGTTCAACCAATGTCCTGGTGAGGAGGAGCAGTCCACTGCATCACGTGACACAGTAAGACAGAAGACTACAACTGTAAGCCCCTCCTGCTAGAGATACAGAATCCCAGACAGCAAGTCGCAGGTCCCAATCCACATGCCAACACGACAAACCAGGTCCTCAGGAGTTAATTCTGCATTCTTTAAAGGACATGATCCTCCAGCATCGAATGTGAAGAAGGAGTGAAAAGGCGTGAAAGCCCTCCCCACCTTGTTTTTTAAGCACACATCTTCATTCCAGTTGGCTCCACATGCTAAGGTCCTCAGGATGATTCCCACAGAAGTTAGATGACCAGGCAATGGGACATCATGCAGTGTTTCTCAATGCAGAGTCTCTGCATTGCAACCATAGGGAGTTAGCTACAAACACAGGATCCGTCTGCTATTCTGGTCTACGTTATTGGAATCTCTGCAAGCAGAGCTCGGAGCCTGTGTGGCTATCAAGTGAGAACTACCAGCATAGTAGCTAAAGGATGACCTCTGGAGTTCGAATGACAGTTCTGCTATTGGCTAATTGAACTGCTTGGCACAGATTACTCACATTTAAGATAGATCTCTAAAGAATATTTCCATCATACCTATTTTCATAGTGCTATCATACCTACTTTCACATTCATGGAGTGGGGACCACATGTGGCCACTCACAAACGATCTTTAACAGTATTTTTGATTCTGTACTCTTTCTATGTTGGTTACTGTTTGTGAGTGATAAACAACTGGGTGGCTTCACCTGAAGAACAGCATTTCCTTTCCCCACAACGGCATGGCTATCCTTCCTCCAGCTTATCCTGGGGCTGAGGTATTTGCTGCTCAGGGGCCCCACTCCCAGAGAGCCCCTAGTTTGGAAGCACCAGTCCCTGCCTTTCTGGCTTCTCCGTCAACCAGAACTGAGCCCTGAAGCAAATCTATGGGATCTGCTCTGGGTGACATCAAGTGACCCAAGTCCCAGAGCAAAGACCCCAGCCCAGGCTGCAGACTGGTGCACTCGCCTCTTTGCTTGATACCTTGAATCATCCAGAAAGTGGAAACTTCATTCTAAGAAACCTCAGACCCGAGGCTTGGAGCAGCCACGTGAATCTCCATGCCTAGCACCATGTCTTTAGGACTTCAGCCCCAAAGCCTGACTTCCAATTGCCAGTACATGCATCTCCATGCCTTAGGCTTCACTGACACTGTAATCATTCCTAGCAATAATTTGTGTTTGATGGCTGTGGTGGTTCCATCAGACTCTGGTGGAGTTGATGCTCAGTGTGTGTCCTTGACACCCTTCTCCAAAGGTTCCCAACAGCCCAGAGTGGTGGTTGGCAAGAGAAAACAGCAGGCACCTGTCATTAACTACGTTCTTTTCCTTGTCGTCCCCCTCCCCCAGTGCTCTGCTCATATCTCCGATGAACTACCTGCACTCAAATCCTTCACCCAGAGTCCTTTACTGAGGGAAGCCACATTCAGCCAAGTTTCTATGTGAAATTCTCAAGTTCAATGCCAACAACAACAACAAAGAATTTAGTAATTAGGGAAAGAAATCCATCTCTTGTCCTTTCAGTGATTCTTAAACATTAAGGAAAAATTCAGTTATACTCAGTCCACCGAACAATGATATCATAGTTTAAGACAAGGAAATGAGTGAAGACACAAAGTTATTCAAAAAGTTTCAAGTAGAAAATCTCCTGAAAAAGTTGTATAAATTGTTGTAAACCAGACATTTTTCTTTTGTCTGCAAGGATTTCCCACACATGCTGATTGTTAAAGATTTATTTCCCTATGCTACGGTTGACATTTCCTGGTTGGCTACTGGATCCTGCAAAGACACAACAGCATCACATATAATCAGTTTTATTGCCAGGTAAGAAATTCATATTAATATAGTGAATACATATGTTTACAAATAAACATTCTTAGAAAACAAACAAATGTTTTTGATTCATTGTAGGAAGTATTATTGGTATCATAAACTCTGCAGTTGTGACAAGTATTAACACAGGTTTACTTGCAGAACATACAATTACTAAAATATCTGCACATAAAATATGCTCCATTTACACACACAAAAAAACTGAGGGGAGTTGAATGGGAATGCCAGGCAGAGCCCAAGGTGGATATCAGCTGGGATGCTGAGGGAGGGCCAGACTCCGGTCTCACTGGGCTGGAAACTGGGAGACAACTAAAGGCAAGACGTGGAGGCTTCCAGGGCATGGAACAAGGAGAGGATCACCTCTTGGCTTGGTACTGGCGTGCAACCTTCTGATTTTCCCCACCTTAGCTATGGGTTCCATGTCTTGAAACATGGGAGTCATAGATAATTCCATATCCTGAGATCTGTCCACATTCCCCTAACAGAAACCAAAGAATAAAGAGACCTTCCACACCCCCCAGGCATCTCCCAAAACCTACTGGGAGGTAATGGGACTGAGAGATCCTTCCAGCATTGTCCTTCTCAGACACCACTGCTTGGCAAGCACTTGTCCTCATGGGGCTTGGTTGACTGCTACATCTCATTGATCAGACTGCACTTTTGTTGCCAAAATTACAACTGCAGACCCTGAGGAGCCAAATCCACTGTATGCAGCTGACTCATAAAAGAAGGAGCATGAAGAAGAAATAAAATACTGTTAATTTAGAGACCAGCAAAGACCCTGAATGACAACTGGGGTTAGAGTGAGATGGAATAGGTTGAGGGCAAGCAGTAAAGATGAATGGAAAGGAAGACCAAAATGACACAGAGCTGAGCTGTAGGGAACCCCTCAGGAAAGTCAATCTGCTCTTTCCTGAAGTCTGGGCTGTGTTCCACCAGCAGATGCAAAGTGCTCATGGGTTGCACAAGGATCAGAGCCTTGGTTCCTGCTCAAGTACATGTCAGTCTCTCTGACTGCTTCAAGGAAGAGGTCTCCCTGGACACTGAAATCTTCAACAATTCTCTAACATCTGCTAATCTCCCGGAGAGAAACTGAAACCCATCTTTAGGTTGAGACCCTCCCACAAGCAGCTGTATCTAGCTGGAATTTAATCACTGCCATTTTGTTGCCTTGAGACTTATTTTTATGCTTACTTTCTATTTATGGAGATTGATACTGGTTTTCTACTTGTGATGAGGGCAGGAAATTTTCCTTTTAAAAATAAAATGTATTTTTTTTAAAAAAATGACTCAAGTTAGACACAAGTATTATCGTGGTGACACACAGAAATGCTACGTGTGCTGCAGGCGGGCAGTAATTCATGTCAAGGAAACACTAACCATACTCAGAGGTGTTTGGGGGAGGGTCAAGGTTTCAGAAAGGAGGCTAGGAAGTGGACATTAGCTCTCTGACCCCTGATTCCTCTGAACAGCACCGAACCTCTTTATATAGGGTGATCTGATAGAGCAGGTTGTTGGCAACATTTCATGTTTAAAATTGGCAGAGTTTTTCTCTTTCGCAAAGCTTGACTTGGCCCCAGCTTGCCATGCTTGAGACAGAAGAGTAAGGCTCAGAGATAGGACACACCTTGACTGTGTCCTTGCGTCTCGCGGGAGCGAGGAGGAGACTTGCCTGGATTTGCTGATGTTACAGTGCCAAGGCAGATGGACTGGTGGGGTAGACCATCACAGCTCAGGATCCCTGGAAATGTTTTTGAGTCTTGTTTGCCTAGCTTCTGACCCCAGAGGCCGGTGGGACTCACGGAAGTACCTACTCATGTATTAGCAACGGCCCTTGGGGTGAGTCACGATCCTTGCACTTTAATGAACATCTTTCTCCTTCCGCAGCCCTCTTTTGGCTTCCACTAAACAAAAAAGAACTTCTTAGGAACATGGTCTTTGTCAAGTATGGGAACCAATCTGAGAAAACCCTCAAGAAATTCTTACTGGGAGAAGGGCCGTAGGTGTGAATATCCAGGGAGGTAATTTTTCGGAAGGATGATGGGAATTTCAGGACGTATCCTTAATTGCTCCCCCTGACAGTGTGGCAGCCCCCTTCAAAGCTATATTAGAGTGAGCTCACCTACGAAGAATGGAAACATCTACTACTGCAGAAAAACAGGAGGAAGGGAGGCTAAAAGAACACAGGTTACACTTGGAAAACAAGATGTCATTAAACAGTAACACATTGAAGGCACCACCCACGCTGATGACATTTTCAGTCCAAAGCAGGAGAAGTTTGGCAACTGCGGCGGCAACACGCTGAAGGGGAGGGGCAGGCAGGGCTAGGCAGTTCTTGGAGGCCTCATTTCTAGGGCTCTCGCAGCTCCGGGAAGTGAGGGTGAACTCCAGGATCAAAGACGTCCCAGTTCCCATCTCACCCCCTGTTGAGTTTTCTGATGGTGGCAGACATTTTTGGCTGCCAGGACACAATCCTCACTCTTGATGATGTCTGATGTTGGTGTCTGTTTGGTACGAAGCTTTAGAACGCATTCCTTTGCACTCTCTGGACCCTCTCCATGCCCTAAAAGCCTGGTCCCCCTGTTTCTACGGCCATGGTCTTCACAGGGGCTTTGCTAAAAGGTCCTTTCCTCCAAACCACGGATTCCACCTGTGGGTTCAGGGTCTTTTTTTTTTTTTCAGTTTGGGTTTTGCTGTCAACACAGATAATACACAGAGTTCTAACGCTAGGTGGTTAGGGGTCCAGTTCTTGTCTCCGACCCATGAAAGGTTTGTGTCCTTATCATGATGACTTCTTGAGAGCATAAAATGATTTGAACATGGGCAAATCTCTTCTGAAGTCCGCCTTTCTCTAGATGAACCCTCATCCTTTCTCTCTTCCCCTTTCATCCTGGTTCGCTTACCAAAAACAATACAAAATCAAAAAAAAAAAAAAAATCCAAACAGCACATGGCAAACAATGCATGTGCTCAGATACACATTCTCTAAATTGTGCTACTTTTTTTTTTTTTTTCGTCATGGATCTCAGTTTCAAGTTAGGAGGAAAAGAACTAGAGCCCATGGTTTGGGCATATGAGTTGGCCACCACGGGGCTTGACATTAAAAAGAGTGTGCCTCTGTTTCCCCTTTGCTGTATTGCTGAATGTCCATGCTCCTGTCCTTCTCAGCTGCCTGCCGAAGCGTGTTAGGCGTGACTCAGGAAAAATGTGATTCCGTGTCACCAGTAGGTCTACAGTGGGTTCCTGTTGAGAATGTGTGGGTGTGTGTTTGGGGGGTGGAGTAGGGGTAGGGAAAGGTAGGGGCTGGGATTTTTTGCCTCTCTCAGTTGAGTGTGGTCTCCAGGGAACTTCCCTGTAGCAAAGCTCAGACAGTCACTTCTGTTTTGCTGTTGGTGATGAAGTATGGTTGTGGGGGTGGGTAGTGCTGGGTACGAGTTCCCAAGGGGTCACTGGAGCCTGACTCCGCCGTGCCAAGCTTGTTTTTGTTTCCATAGGCCTGCCGTCGGAGAGAATGCTCACCAGGCTCCCAGCCCTTAAAGTTGGTGGTGGAGTTGTAGGCCAGGGGGTGCGGGGGCATCTTGTTGGTGCGAGACTTCTGTCCATTCTGCTTGGCAGGGCCATGCTCAGGGCTGAAAGCCCCAGGTTCATCCTCTACTCTCACGGGGTGCAGAGGGAGGTTCCCCTTGGCGGCCAGCTCTGCCAGGTGCCGTCGTTTGGAGTAGAAGTCGTCATTGACTTTGTCAGCTGAGCAGGGAGACAGGTAGACGAAGGAGGGGAGGAGAAAACAGAGAAAAGGAGAGAGGAGAGAGAGAGAGAGAGAGAAGAGTTAGAGATTGGCAGATCAACTCAAGAACAGCCTACAAAAGGGCCAACAGTCCAAACAAGACACACTAGCAACTGCACCTGCAACAAGACACAGGGGAGGGTAGCACCAAGTCCTCTTCACAAACAAGAGCTAGGGCAAGAGGGCTAAGGACACACCCCCAAGGACTCCAGATTCCGCCAACTAAGCACACTGCTCCCATCGTTGTTGTGCCAGGCCTTCTGTGTCAAGTCCAAGTGCTGCATCTTCACTGAGAAAAAGACTGATTCTTGTAGGAGTGCTGAACCCTATGGGAGATACGCACATCTCTCCGCTCCTCAAACCCCGCCCTCCCAAGGTAGCCAGCATCAACCCAGGATTGTGTTTTCTTCTTGTCTTTTAAATAAGCAGAGTTCAATCTGGCAATGCTTCAAGTCGCATGGGCTTGCTTTTGTTTTTGCATCTACCCGTTAGAAATCGACATGTTCAAACCCTGACTGCCAGTTACTAGCCATGTAACTGTGACTACAAAAATTGTATTACCATCAGCTTCTGCATAGGAAAGTGATTAGAACAACAGCAATGACACAAGATATTTCATAGAATATTGTGGAGGGTTAAATGTTGTGTAACTATCAGCTATCCCCATTATCATCTTTAGAACTCTCAATCCTCCTGCAACACTCCACCAAGCATTTCTTCATGGTGCTATAAATTACTAACAAATAGTATCTGATCATCTACATAGTATTTAATTGAGTGGAAGTATCAAAATGAATCATTCCCCCTATTGAACATTCAAGCAGCACCAACATTCTTCAATTATAGATAAGAAATGAGTGAAAATCTTCAGACTTCAACCTCTTTTCATATTTAGGATTTTTTAATTTGGAGGGGTTTAAAAATATAATCTATACTGGGTATTTGCAAACCATGAAGGCTCACAGGCCAAATCTCACAACCACTTGTTTTTGTAAATAAAGTTATATTGGAAACGAAGCCACACGCATTCCTTCACACACTGTTTATGGTTCTTTGCTAGGCGGTGCATTGTGACAGAGACAACACAGCCTGCAGAGTTTGGCACATTTTCTATCTCGCACATAAAGAAACAGCACAGCAATGCCGGGGATGTATTATTTGAAGTGGAATCATAAGTATTATTAAGGATTTTGATAGTAGAATTATAAATCTTATGAAGGATCCCAACACATACAGATATTACCAACTATCCTACAAGAGGTGTACCAACTTCCACTCAACTGAAATACACTCTTCCAACATTCCATAATTCCTCCTTTCCCTCCTTCCCTCCTCCTTCCTATTTCCTCACCTATTTATTCATGTGATAATTTTATGGTGACTCCTTTTCTTTTTCTCTTGCAATTCTTTTATTATAACATTCTCTATGTATTTTCAAATATTCATTTATGCATGAACATAAGTAGGACAGAGCACATGTATTTCCCACTTTTCCTCCTTCAATTTTTCTTTTGAATTTTTGTGTATTATACTTTCCATGTACTTATACCAACAGCAAGCTTTTGAACTTAATCTCTCTTGGGAAACCAAATGTATTTCCTGCAATCCCACCCACATGTGTGATGCCTCCAAGCATGACACATGACTATGATAATAAATGGAGACCATCAAGTGTCCATGCTGCTTTTCTCCTTGGATCCTTTCAACAGTTAAGATAGGAAAAACAGGGATTATTTGCACTTTCTGACAAATTAGGAAGCTTTCAAACACAAGCTCATTTCAGTACGATTATCCACACCCAGCGGCTGGGCCAGAGAAGATCCAAATCTGGGGGACGTTATTTCAAATCCGGGGCCATGGGTGGGAAGCTTTGGTTTCAGCATGTAAATCTGATCATGTTCTATCTGCTTCCTTTGTGTCCTTGGCAGACATGACTCATCAATCACAGAGTCCCTTCCTGATAGACTTGGCTTCTACTTCAATTCTTCCACACTCTCTCTCCCCTGGAAAGCACAGATGATAGGCTTTTACAACTCTACTCCTTTCAATGCAATGATCAAGACTACTGCTCCCCTTCTTAAATCTACCAGAACTATCTGAAGGAACAGAATGGCAAAGTCAAAAGGCATCTTGGAGCCTGTTCCTACACATGAGAGCAACACACATTGCTGAAATATACTGAATGGCTTAAAATACGCAAGGTAAAAATTCAAGCTGGGATTAGACCGTCTAGAGGAGAGCTCTAAGCTTCTAATTCCAACAGATTCCAACAGAACCACACTCCAAAAATTCTCAGACTTCAAAATTCACAGATCTAGTTCCCTCCTAGGCAGATCCACTGACATGTGTCACTCAAGGTGGACATACTTGTACTTGTTAACACCACCCAGATCTGTTCAAATTCTTGCTTCTCTCTCCCATGGGACCACCCCCTCAGGCCAACAACTTGGGAGCAAGCTCTGACACTCTCTTGTGTGGCACAAATGCTGAATCACGAAGTCCCCCAGTGATATAATGAATTTTCAAAGCATTTATAGCAAACACAATTGCAAGGATTTCAAATTTCTGCACTGACACCATCTTGGAACTCCATGTTGTGTGAACTTTTTGACATATATTCATGTCCGACAAATGTTTCTCTAATCCATCTCTTTTCTCCTATGTGCTTGGAACATTGCTTTAGTGCAGCCACCAGTGGGCCTTGTTGCCCCACATCTCCTCCCCCGATCCATTCTGCATGTTACATTCAAAGGCAAATTTCTAAAATACAAAACTAATCCTGTCCCTTGTGTATTCAAATCCCTTCAAGCCATGTGTTCAGTGACTTAGTCATCACCCTGCATGTGGTTTATGCTAAAAACTCATATGGAAATGACCCATAGGAGAGACATGATATCATTGAGGGACATGGAGTCACCAGATAATCCCATACATTACATAAAAACATGGAAATGGCAGGTGCTACACAGGAAGATCATCGGGTCTTACAAACGTTGCTGAGCAAGTCCCTGATCTGCTCTAAGCAGATGTCACAGCTCAGAGTCTTCTCAGTCCTTCGCTTATACCAAGCCCCTGTTACTCATCTCCCCAGACTTAGCTGAGCTGTTACCACCCTGGCAGCCTCCCTCAGCATCCCCTGTGGTTTTACAATTTTCCATGTCCTCATTGCTTTCCCCACTCACACTGCGGGGCTTTCAAACAGCTTCAGACACCTGGATCCCCGCCCCATGCCCCTCCAGCTATGTAATCAGAATATCCTAGACAGTCAGCTCTTTGGGTGACTCTAATGTGTATCTAGTGTTGAGAACCACAGAAAGGGCCCTGGCATCTCCCACAAGGTTTCCCAAGAACTGAACAGGAGGGGTGTTTCTTTCTACTCCTGTTATCCTCAGCTGCCTCCAGGTTAGACACCGTTCTCTTATAGGAACTATAACTCCTCAGCATGAGTGGCCATCACACTCTGAAGCAATCTCCTCCCAGACACCACCTTTCTCTTCCCACATCTTCAACCTGCTCTGGCTTTGTGTCTCATTTTGGTTGAGAAGTGGTCACAGCTTCTGCTCTCAGACTCTTGAAACTATATACCTCCAAGGAAAGAAAGCCCAGACTGGCCTCTTCCTGGAAGAGTCCATGGGCCAGTTATACACATTTCTCACAGCCAAGAGTCTGTTCATTGCCAGGTACCTAATGAAGTCATCTTACGTTGTGTGGTCATCCACCAACCTGCCAGTCACCAAGAGATACTCAGCATGCCTGGCTGAGAGCAGTTGGACGCCCACATCTGAAGTACTTCTCTGCTCACCCAAAATGATGATCCTGGTTCAGGGTTACTATCTTGAGTGGCAAAGCACAGGACCATCTCTTCTGCAGCAGTAGCCACAGAAACGCCGCAGCATTTGCAAACACCCTGAGGCAGGAAGGAGCTCAGCAACTTGAAGAAACTGAATGTGAACCTGAGTGTAGAGTGCAGAAAGTAAGGTTATCCCTAGATCATCACAGGTTCTGTAGGCAAGAGCCTGCCACTCACACCTATTTTTTGTTTTTGTTTGTTTGATCATCACCTGCCAGGGGAATTGAGTGTTTCAAGAAGCACAGCATAAACACAGATTTGATGCCTGGGGGGAAAATAAATATTTTCAAGACTGTTTTGACAACAAGGAGGGGGTTGAGGCAAACCCTTCCTATCACCTCAAAAAGCAGTGTTCATGACATCTCTTTCTTTAGCTCCCGTCCCTCTTTGGATGAGGGGATTCAAATGCTTCATGGCTATTCCTGGCTGCATGGAGTATGGTCCCTATCTTCATGTAGTACAAGTCTCCTTGTGGAAGGAACAGCAAAATCACCAAGCAATCTTCAGGCCCCATTAATAAATGCATTAACCTAACCAACCCCGGTATCACATGGGCAGATGGTTGACAAGCTGACCAGGAAACAGATGTGTAAGCTTTCCAACAACACAGGTCCTCTCTACTTTGATTTTTCTTCATTTAAACAAATAGGGAGAATGAGAGGAAAAGGTGCTTTCTTTCCAATGAGCCTAATTGCCTTGAAGGAACAGGGGTTGTAACATTAATCTGCATCTTCCTCCATCTGCCTCTCTCTTAATGAGCTGCACACACTTGTGCAGGTGCCGAGTGGGACAGAGCCTCACCTCCTTGGAAACTGAGAGTAGTAGGGTAATAACCAGTTTTCAGGGGAAGCTGCACATCTGAGGTTCTCAGCAGGTGGCCCCCCACCTGCCTTCTTCCCTTGGGCCAAAGAGATCTTGAAGAGGGGTCCATATGGCTAACGCTCTTGGGTATATACAGCTAATGCCACTTGGGTCTCAGTGGATGGATTTTTCCCTCCTAAGCGTTAAGCCCCTCCCCAACCTTCCTCATCTCTCTTCATCTTTGGTTCAAGAAGGTGATGAAATTCAGTGATTAAGCCTGAATCCTTCACAGTGAAAACTAAAGTGCAG